GGGGAGTGGTAGTCATCGCTCATGAAGGGTTCAAAGCATACTACTCGATTCGGTATGGCTTCAAGGCGTCAAACAATGAAGCAGAATATGAGGCTCTCTTGTGCGGACTACGCTTGGTGGCCGGGATGAATGCGACGAAGTTAAGGGTAAAGTGTAACTCAAAGCTAGTGGTCGGGCCAGATGACAGTGATGGGAGGACAACGACTGGATGATAACGACTAGGTGAAAATGACTCGACTATGAAGACCAGGTGACGTCTACTAGGCAACAAGTATCAGTCACAGGGGTTGACTTAGTTGTATTATTGAATCTATAAGTAGGCCAAGGCCTTCTCATTGTAACGGATCGAATTCGAAGCTAACAATACTCCTACTTTGCATACACACACTCTCTCTAAACTTTTCATATCAAGCTTAGTAACTCACTGCCCCACGGCCGATATGTTAGGTGGTTTATTGCCATCAAAAATCATATATTATTCTGTAAAATCAAAAGTTTTACAAAACAAGTGGTAAAAGATTATTTTATTGTATCAAAAGATCGATGAAAATGTATAAAGTCAATATAATTAGTTTGATATGCGAATAATAACTATGAATCTTTTTTTGGAACTGAGGAAGTATTACCAAACATAAAGAATTAAAATTTAAAGTTTTCCAATAATATATTTTTCTCCAAAGTCCCAACCAAACTAACGCTATATGTTTATTTTTTTTAATAGTTTTGGGTCGTGTTTGGAAAACAGCTTTTCAGATAGCTTTTGACATCTTTGACTGACTTTGGCTTTTTTGACTAAACGAACCGTCAAACCATTGTTTCGCTGATGGCTTTTTCACTTGGCATTTTGATCCGAAAAGCTAAAATCTGAAATGCCAAGGGAAGTAGCATTTGGACTTGGCTGTTAGGAAAATTATTTTTCTTAAAATCATTTTTCTTGAAAGATATTTTATAATATATTTAAAAAAATAAAAATAGAAATAAAAGTTAAAAAAATTAAATACTAAAAAAATAAAATTTAAAAATTAAAAATTTCAAAAAAAATGAAATGAGAAAATAAAAAGTAAAAATCATTAAAAAGTTGTATATTAATAATTTCTTATGAATTAAATGAAAGTAAAAAAATATAAAATAAATATCGTGTGTGTGTCTATAAATTCAAACAGCTAATTTTACTAAACATTTTTAACGATCAGCCAATTCATCATGCTGGTCAAATTAGCTAAACTAAACAGTCATTCACAATAACTGACACGAACTGCCAACAGTCAACAGCTGACAGCCAACATCCAAACAAGGCCTTGATGTGAGAAGGTTTATGGAGTAATAAATCTTGAAAGCATGATAAAAGTGGTTAATTTACTCCAAAGAATGGTTTAATAGTGAAAAAGAAGATTAGGGTGTGGAAAGGACAAAAGGAAAGAAAAGAAAAAGTCGCAAGCTGTCACGCGGCCACACAATTAGCCACATTTTCCACGCCCAACAATGTTAAATACTCCAACCCGTTCAAAGTCTCCACTAGTTTTCCCCAAACCACGCCAACCTCCCCCGTCTTCTCTCTCTCTCTCTCTCTCTTTCTCTCTCCCTTTTTTTCTGGAATTTTCTACAGGCCGGATCGAACCTGCCATGGAGATTCCCGATTTGAATATGATCAGCGATTTCGAAGCCGGCGTGAAATGCCTGCAGAACCCATCTCTGATTTCTAGCTCTCTTCCGATTTCCGGGATCGGCCGCAGTTTCTGGAAGTGGGGAGCTCTGATTCTCGCCCTGGTTGCGACTTTCCGCGGCATAATCCGCCGGATTAAGCTTTTCTTCTTCTATATCCGCGCCGTCAAGCCTTCCGTGGAGCCTCTGCTTCAGTATCTGAGCGAGGACTTCGATTTCTCCGACTCCGACGGTGAAGAAGACTCCTCGTATTCCTCTTCGGAAGAGGAAGAGGTAGTCCGTCGGACTACGACGTCGTTTTCCGGCCGTTTGAGAAATCGACGGCGGCGAGAGACCAGCGTCGTCGAAAGGTTTCCGTGGTCTGGTTTCGCGTCCGGCGGGAAGAGTGTGGTGAAGCTCTGGGATAATCTGGCTGTGGGTTACGATTTTGATGCCGAGGTTTTTATGAATCTAACGAATAAGGTTTTCCCCGAATCTCGAAGGTCGACGGCGATGGCGTCACCGGCGGTGGTCGTTTCGTCGGAGGTGATTGGGAGCAGAAACGACGTCGTTGTAGCCGCTTATGATACCAGAGTAAAGGGTAGATCTCCGGCTATATGTGCGGAGTGGCAGGCTCCGGGGAAGAATAGTGTCGACGTCAATGCCGCCGGCGTCGAGAGGGTGTACGTCGAAGATCGCGCCGCCGGCGTAGTCACGGTCGGGGACTTGAGAAACATGAAGGCAGCGCTGGGAGAATTAACGGAGGTAAACGTCGAAACGTGGTGGGACGCCGGCGCTTTAACTTCCGACGATGCGTGATGTAAGGATGAGCTGTCATCCTCATCTGTCAAGTTTGACGGGGTAGCGCACAATCAGAAACATTAAATGGCGAACTCGAATTAGACCAAATGAAATGTGATATTTGATGGGAACTTAGCTTTGTCGCTTTGTCTGTAAATGTTTACCCCCGCATTTATTGTAATTTATTTTGAACAATTTACCTAATGTTATAAAATGAGAGAAAAACTACTCAAAGATTATGAGAATAGATATAATATATTTCTGATTTCTTCTCTCTATTAACTCTTCACTCTTCTTCTTATACTTAATGGTAATTTACAGGGATCCTAAGCCTCTTATTTATAGTAGAGTGGCTTAGAACTAACACTATTACAAATAGTATACATACTATACAAATGACAACTTGATGGTGATGAATGATGATGGACAATTTGTTCATGCAACTTATGATGGAGCATGACCTAATTAATTGATAAATGAACAATTCATATTTTTCTTAACACTCCCCCTTGAATGTTCATTTTTCAATTGATGATGGATATTCGTGAAATGGGTATAGTTTAGAAACCCATTCTAATTTTATGTACTGCCTCGTTAAAAACCTTGTCAGGAAAAACCCAGTGGGATAAAAACCTGATCAAGGGAAAAAGAGTACAGTTCATAAAATTCTCCCCCTCAGCTTAGCATAATTGACAGAGACGACGCATGCCAATCTTGTGTACGAGTTCTTCAAATTTATTCGGGGGCAATGCTTTTGTAAATAGATCAGCAGGGTTCTCGCTCGACTTGATTTGCTTGATGTCAACCTTTCCATCTTTCTCGAGATCATGTGTTGAGAAGAACTTTGGTGATATAT